AATTTATCATATAAATAGGTCATAAAAACTTAAAAACTTGAATGGTTAATTAAAGAATAATAGCACCATAAACATAATAAAATAAACTGAATATTTAAAAGAAAAAATCTCATAATCTAATATTAAAAAATTACTAATGTGATAATTAATAAAAAAAATCATAACCAACACCCTTAATAATAAACTTAAAAATTCAGATTAAAATAAGAATACTCGGCACAAGCATACAAATTAAGTAGTTTTAAAGAATAATACATACTAGTCCCTGATACCACTAATAAAAACACAGACTCCAAAATTGTAGCCCTACTCTTTAACACAATTTCAATAATAAAATCTTTAGAAAAAGATCCAACTAAAAATGGTAAACCTGAAAGACTAAGACAAGGAAAATAATAAAGAACTCTGCATCCTAAAGAAATCCATGTCAAAGTTTCACAAAATGCTTTTCACACTTTTTGAATTAACGTGAGTTGGTACGATTTTTGAAAAAAAACGTTCTTTTTAAAATTAATATTGATTCCTCCAACTTAAACTTAACACCAGCTCAGCTGCTGACCGCCAAGCTTTCTATAAATATGTATCTGTTTTAAAAATGTGCAGACTTGATGACTACCGAGTTGAAACCGACAAATCCAGCTGTGCCAATTGCACTTACAATGCGCAATCAGCACTTTGAACAAAATTGTATACATCTGCTCCTGATAAACTAGTTGAAGACAAATAAAATACACCAGTTAAAAGTCACGAGCTACAAACGGCGGAAGAGCTTATAGTGATTAAAAGAAAGATCAAACCAGTGCAAGGAAATTCTTGTAGAGACATGAAAGATCACTCAACTACTACTAATAACAAAAGCAGCAGTCAGCCATGCGATCTCAGATAGTTATCCTTCGATTATACTCATACCAATCAACATTAAGTGACCAATAAAATCTTTCAGAATATTGAATATAAGAATGTTTTTAAGTAACTGAAGTGCTGAATGTGATGATTTTGTACTGACAAGTGCAAGGATTATAGCTAAAAGGACACCTGATTGTAGTTCCGGCGAAGAATTCTACATAATCGTTTCTACCATTACCACATATTTATTCAAAGACAATTGCTGGTATTACTTTAAGCTAGTCTCTCTCATATTGTATGCTAATGATGATGGCCCTTACCAGCTATTCCCTCGTTGTCGTTTTAGCGGTTTTTATAATTGCAAGACGACCAACACCAGTGCATGCAGCATCAATATCCAATGCAGAACAAAAATGTTTCGAAGACATTAGCGGTATTTGTCTTCGAAAATACAAAAGCCTGAAGGAAACCTATGGGTTAGAATTCTTTTTTCCTCTAGGAAGGATATTTGATTCTAATTAAAAGCAGAACGAATTTTAGAAGGCATCCATGAAAGACCACCAGTAGAAAACATCTGGCGAATCTGAATGTCATCTCAAGCACTTGACCTTTTGGAGGAAAGGATCAACAAAAAGACTGTTGTTTCGACATTAGTTTGGCTAGATGAATCAAGGAAAAAATAACTCGATTCGATCCATTTAACGTACCATGAGACTTTCTCAAAGTAGACGACATACTGTTTTGTTTCGTAAAAACCATGGTCGGCTTATCGAAGTTAGCTAATGTGCGTTGTTTCCACTTCCAGGGAGTTGGAGGAAGGTGCAGTGGGCAAACAAGAGGTCTTTTAGCCAAAACACATCAGTACCTTTGTCTGAGGTCCCAATATCACCAGATACACTATAGCTAAGAATCTAATGGCGAAAAATTTGTTGTTCTATAGCTTTTCTTTATTTAGAAACCTGGTAAGGGGAAAAGTGTCTTTAGAATTTGCAAAATGATTCGGGAAAATTTGTTTCTCGAGAGAGTCTTAGCTTTTGGTCAGAGAAGAATACATATTTAAAAATGGCAGAGGTCACTGTTTCTGCTAGTGGAAAAAGTTTCGAATAAAAATGTACAGAAAGAAACTTCAAACCCAATTTTCGGAACAAACAAGGTTTATGAAAACATGTCATCACTACAATCATTTTTCGAAATTTTCCGAAACCGTAATACCGTTCGCCGAACGGTATTACAATCTAATCAAGCAATCTAATCTAATGTACATTCGGAATGTACTTTAGATTAGATTGCTCCTCTTGTTGTACTGCCTCTACAATAAGTATCGTGTTTTGACTAGACTGAGGTATAGGTATTTCAAAAACATTGGTTTCTGAGATGAATTTGAGTTTATAAACTTACAATTTATATAATTTATTTACTTACATACTTGAAATCAGTGCAAAAAACGGCATCGAATGATGTATAATTTGTTAGTCTTTGTCGTTTATTTTATTTTTCTACAAAAATTCACGGCAAAGAGGCTTCTCAAGGATTGTTTGATCGAAAAAACCTTTTCGTCATTTCAATTTTTGCACTTTTGATGAACTTTCTGCACTGAGAGATCAGTCTATAAGAATAACTTGTTTCAAGTTAAAAGCCTCATATCCGCCCATTTCACGACAAATTAGCCACTGTGGAGAACCGATCGAAACCGAAAAAAACTGAAAGGTGATCTCAAAAATGGCTAATTTTGTCGGACATCCTTTCTGATCTGTTTCAAAATGTTATTTGCAGCATCACACTGTGTCATCGTAATCTGTAGAAACAACAAAGAAACTATAACAGGACATGCTAACTCAGAGCTGTAACTGGTCTGACAGAACGGCCCGTCACAGGCCGAATCGCCGGTTTACACTCTCAAACCAGCCGGTTTGCTCAAGTGTATTGTCAGTTGAAACAATTCATAAATTAGTTGTTTTTGTTACTGGCTTTTAAAAGATTTTCAAAGTTTCTTCCGAAAACATACGCCTTCAAAATAATTTTCCATTTGGCTTTTTTAAGCAAAAAGGTTTTGGGACAAGTCAAGTTTTTAAAAGTTTACTGTTAAATTGACCGGTTTTAACCAAGTTCAAACATTTTCCGAAAACCGACCGTTTTTGCCAGTTTTCGTTGGTCTATTTAAATTTTCAGACCAGCCGAGTCGGATCGCTGTCTTACATCCAACCTAATCACAAATCTGCACTAGCTTTCTCTTTCTCCGCTTTAGCAAAATTAGTAAAACTCTTCTCGAAAATCCATTTTTTCAAACTATCATGTACTTAAGTGCGAACGTGCTCCATCTCTGGTTGTAAATTTTTTTCAAAAACTGTGTTACTGCTCGAGATATTCGATCCGCGGTCCTTGTCCAATTCTGACCGGTCTCCTTCTTATTATTATAATGTTCTTTATGAAGGCATTTGGAGGCGTCTGCGCACTGCGTTATACAGTCAATACTAAACCAACTACATTCACCTCACAGAACATTTATATTCTACATCGAAAGGCATGGATTTAAGTGATCAGTAAAATAGATAGTATCATCAGTAAGATAAAATATTATAAATTCAGTTAATTGAATGAATGATCAGTAAATAGGTTGAACTAACAGTAAACTATTTAAATGATCGGTTATTAAATAAACAGGATCTTTAATAAATTTTAAGATCAGTGAATAAAATAGGTTAACAGTCAGTTAAATCAAACAGTAAGTATAGAAATAGAAATGTGCTATAGTGTGATTCACTTCTGCTTCGTTTCCTTTCTTTCTTTTCTTTACTGTGACATAAAGCTGACAAGTACGACATATATATTCCTTTCTTCAATTCATCTCTACTATGATTTTCATTTTTCATGAAAATCTTAGTAATTCTTCGACGTGAAAATTCAAAAAAAATTATAGTGATCGAATAGGATAAAAAAGTACATCATTCGACTCAATTTTTGACGCTGATTCAAAATATGATATTTTTATTGCGTAAAAGTTAAGTTCTGGTGGAGAAAATTGCGAATTAGTGTCAGAATTCTGATTTTTCTCAGCAGAGTCCACTTTTCTTAGCAACGAAAAGGAATTCTGAGAAACAGAGAACGTACTTTTATTCTCCGTGCCAAGGCGCTTCCAGTGGTATAAGAACGAAGGCCCTGTCTTTTAACCCCACGAGATAGATTTGCAAGATGACCCCATCGCAATTTGAGACCCTTTCATAAAACATTTCGCCCAAAATCGCAGTGCAGTGCAGGGCCGGAATAATAAATAAAGGTTTCAAATGTTCCACAGTTATCTTATAATTTCCCATTTTCATTGCCGCCTTTGACGATCAGTCTATTCCTTAATTTTGTACAGAGATGAGTAGCGTCTTGTATAAATAATAAAATTTGATCGGGGTGTAAATAAAACCATGTTGACCATTGACGAGGTATTTTAATCCTGAAAAAATGCTTTTAGTCGTATAAATTGAAATGTGGAACACTGGCAAAGAATCGGCTGATTAAACGCATAGACCTGAGATATTTGGCATCGCAGTCAGTGCTAAAACAATAATTCTAATGTCGTTGCCCAAGCATTCATTATATATATAAAGCCAACGTTTAAGTATATCGTTTGAATTTTGACAATTGTCAGTGCCATAGGCTGCAAGAATAAACGGTTTTGATAGTGTTCATAAAGGAGATAGAGGTTGAACCGTATGCAAATTAATTAAGGAATATTTTGTATTCGTTTGAAACCAGAAAGATTCTTTAAAATTATCCGTTTTGAAGGCATTCACCTTCGGTAACCTATTTTCTAGTGGCGAATTGAAGCCTATGAATGTATTTTTTGATGAGTTATATTGAACTCGACTGATCACCCCTGCAAACTATAGTATAGTTCCAAAATTATAAATGATTTTCCATTCAGCACCGGTGCAGTCCTCGGCTCCGAAGACATGAGTTGCTTGTACTGACTGAACCTGTTGTTTTAGATAATCAAATCTAAATTGTCCTTCGTGAATTTGAAGATTTTGTTTCTTGATAACTTTCTCTAATGCAGCCGTACTTGTTAAGGCTCCAACGAGATTAATTCGTGAGAATTCATAAGCATTTCGACCACCAAGGATAAACGTAGCTAGTGCAAAATGTTCAACATTTTTGTTATACCGTTAATGGTTTGGCGTTTGCTTGAGATTTTGGCTGATATTATTGATCAATGATAGAAGAAATGGTTTTTGAAATGATTTGACAATAGCACAATATTGTTCAGATAAAACCGTGAGACATGTTGTTAAGTCTTCGTCGATAACCTCGTGTTTTTCGGTCATTTTCTGCTGTTTTATAGATCTAAGATCACGTAATAAACGTTCGATTTTTATTTTAATACCTGTTTTTACTGAAAATAAGTTGTCATCATCGTTTTCTAAACAACAAAGTTGTTGAAGATCGGCAATTATTCGATTTTTTGTTGGTTTCGTGAAAATATCAATAATATCTTTTACTTTCGGATGAGTAATAACGAGTGCTGTGTCGCAGAACTGGGCTTGTAACATTTGTTTGGCTATTCACCATAATTCTCTTCGATATAACTGTGAAACTCTTTACCTCGCAGGTGAAAATATCATACTGGATATTCGGATCCATTCAATTCAAGAAAATACACGAATATTGAGCCGCGGACACACAGAGAAAGGGAAACACACCAAGCACATACACAACAAAATATGTTGGCACTGTTCGACACTTTCATACGAAACTAGAACACGATATTTATCAGTTAAGCTTTCATCATTCAAATTATTTCGAAAAAGTGAGACAAAAAAAGAAACACTCTATAGGACAGCAGAGTATCCAGGCGTCAAGATAGATATGATACTATAAGGAAAAATTTTGGCCTTTAGAGACAAGCAGAGTTTACACGAGCGTTTTCTTTCCGAACAACGGTCAATCCCCGAAGAAATACTGTAAGTGTAGGAGGTATTATTGCTTACTTTGATCAAAGATCAAGGTTCAGTGAGATTGGGAAACTCTTTGAACCAAGTATACACTTTGGAGATGCGGCTTTGCCCAGAAACGTTTCTATTATTTTGTAAAATAAGTGCACAGGATGAAGTTTTTTGCATGGCGTTGGATATAACAGATTCCGTTGAGTCTGAATATATCCTTAGGTTGCATTTACAAACGAATTTTTATGAAGAAAATTCACTTTTACTAAATAGTTAGCATATCTCGCAGAGAATTTTCTAGCTGATTTGAGTGAACTTCGCCTTTTTTCCCAAATATCCGCCTGAATGCCCACTGTAGAGCAGGTCTTTTTGGACTATTTTTGATTTGTGGCTGTTTTTGAGCGTTTTTCAGTTGTGGCTGTTTCATGTCTGAGATCACTCTCAATGCGTTTTGTCTTTCATTGGACGATGATAATGAAATCTAAACACAACAGTTAGGAAGATAAGAATTTTTTCTAGAACTGATAAATAACTAACTGAGTCTTTCGTCACGGATAATTTTTTAGCCTAACTAAGAACTTTGACGTACTTAAATAGTTCATAAATTACCATAAGCCTGTTGCTGTTTGTTCACTGGAAACCTTTTTATCTTCAGGTATTTTAGACAGTGAAATTTCAATTCCAAACTATTTTCTTTATCGCTGTGAGAATCTTCGCACGCGTGGTGGTGTTTGTGTATATATGAAAAGTGACATTTCTCATAATTTTATTCTTTCCTCTACAGGCACCGAATCGCATCTTCTCTCTATTATAATCAACAATCATACGTTTTACTTATGTAATTTATACCGTCGTCCAAGGCGTCCAACTTCATTCTTTGACACTTTACAAAATTTTCTTCTTTCTCATGTAAAAAAAGATTTTTCTATTATCTTGCCAGCTGATCTCAACGTTCATACAGTTAGACTGATAGCATCAGTGGGATTACGTTCTTTAATAGATGTTTTTGACCTCAATAATGCTTTCTCTATACCGACTACAATAAAAAATACGTTTATTGATAATACATTCTCCTCTTCTAGCCTTCTTCGTCCTAGTACGTCCATCTTTCCTTCTTTAGGCAAGTCTCCTCATGATGTTTTGTCTTGTTCTTTCCCATACGAAGTAAAATCTAACTGCGCTCTTGGTCAAGTATATGACTATGAAAATATAGATATGTGTTTGTTTGCCTCGACATTATACTCTATAGATCCAGTTTTTTATTTAAGCAACGATACTAATCACGCACCTGCATATCAAAATTTGATGGTTTTTTTCTAGAGAAGCGTACCTCGAGATTTTTACATATTCGGAATCAGCGTGACGAGTTACGTTGTACGGCGCAAAGATCTCGTCGGGGTATTTCCGATTTTTGGAG